TTCTCTCTCGTGTGTGTGTGTGTGTGCGCGTGCACGTGTGGGAAACGCACTTTAATTGCAGCCATTTTTGACTAATCCACAAGAAGTGCCCTGAATACAGACTAGGGCTCCCCACTGTATTCTTAAAGACATGGCCCATAAAAAACAGCTTTACTTCACAATATGCATCTAGTAGCGTTTGACGGTGGCAATCCACCCATTGCCACCTAGCTGTGCTAAATATTTTAGTTCCTAAAGTAAGGGGATGATATTCATTAGAGGGGCCCAAAATGCAGCGTTTGGGTCTGGCTGTAAACTAGCCAAAGGCAGAAAGCAATATTGGTTGGTCTTTAATCTCTTTTTAAATGACCAATCCAAATGGCTGCTGTTGCTTTTTGCACCAAGGTGGCCTAGTACCACCTCCTCTCTAGCATGTTATGCATCCATTTCCAGAGCCTGCTTTTTTCTCCACCCATGTTGTGCCCTCTGGAATAGCAAGATCCCATGCTGTCATCTGATGTATTGGATTTCAGTGTCGATGTAGTCATGAGCTTGTCTGGTGTGCTACAGAGAAACACTTTGTCCAGGCAAGCGAAAAAGAGAAACAAAGGGAGTTGGATTTGTTTCTCCCAGAGTGAAACAGGAGTAAGTCCACTGAAGTCAGAGTTATAGTAGCATAAAAGCAGTGTGGGGAGAATCAAACTCACTGTAGTTTCAGTTAAACATCTCCGCAGTGTAACAGAAGCATTTTTCTCTTCCAATCCATTCTTCTGTGCCCATTGAAATCAATAGAAGAAAGTTCCGAGGGAACAGGCTGGGGGCATACATCTGCAGTTTATAACTATAGGGATATTGCCTATAATGGGGAGTAGTCCATTCAATGAGCCTTTATTGGAAGGGCAAACTAGAAAAGTGTGGTCAAAGTCTAAGGAGAAACCCTGAGCTATGGGAGGTATGTGATAAGTAAGATCTGCCCAGGATAAAGCTACATAGTGTGTTTTGGTTTGTTCCATTTGTCAGTAGTGTCCATTCGTCATCTGTTGCAGATTGCTGCGTCGTTCAATGTCTCCTTTCTCCCAGGACTAGGAATAATTTTTCCTTGTTGCATATTAATGAGAAGTCTTTTATGGTGCCTGATGATTTGGGGGAAATATATTTTTTTCTTCTTCTTTCGTTCCCTCCTTATATTTTGCACGCTTGGCACTTGCTTTGCATGGCATGAAGTGTGTGTGCATATGGTGGTTTGGACAGCTGTGTGTGGGGATTGTACGATTAACTGCAAGTGCTGTGCTAAACGTGTACATTGGGGAAGCACTATACAGCCATACCTTTCTTGCACTCAAATGGAAACTCTTGGTGCTTTGCTGTACATGTGATGATAATGCCCCAGAACAGAGAGCCCTATCCTGCAGTCCTTAAGCAAATCCTCCCATTAAGGCTGAGAGCTGAAATGGAGCTAACCACAGTATAATGTGTATTTTCTAGTCCAATCTGAAACCAGCTCCTTTCTCCAGTCCTCTCCCCACCCCATCTTTGTTACATTCTCCCTCTCTTTCTCCTTAATCATGGAAGCTGTTTACAGCCCATTAAAGGATCAAATATCTTCAGAGGATGATTTGAGCTTTCATTAACATTTTTCTATCTTGCAGCTCAATTCCCTATGTAGGAAACCCTGACTTAAAGCATGATTCAGAGGGTAGCAATGACACTTGGATATTATGGAGTTTGGATCCAGAGCCCAGATATTAGTATTATGTATTTGTACGAAACAGGATGTCTATTATCCCCAGACATTCACTGGAATTCATTTGGAACATCATCTTTGCAAGCTACATGCTTTGTATCTTTAAACATTACAGCCCAATGTAGTCAAAGCTGAGTTGCTCCTATAAATGAGATATGGTATATGAATAAATGACACAGCACTGATAATGTTTTATTGCCATCAAATCTTCATCCTGTGATGTGGGATTGTACCGCATATGGCAATGCAAACAAGTATTATCTCTTCATTTAAATCTTTAACATAGTTTCCTACTTAGCTTCTCCTGATTCCTCTTCCCAAGGTTGCCTGGCAAGAATCCCCCAAAGTGACAGCTGGAGCAGCGAAACCACTCTAGGCCTTTTCCCACAGTGGAGTCCTGCAGCGTCAACCGTTTTCCAGCCTCTAGAGAGAGGGCCCAATGGCACGAGGTCACATTAATACCCATCTGAGTCAAGCGATAAAAATAGGCCTGAAAAATACTGCAGAATATTAATAAACCTCTGAGAGAAATGGCTCTCCAATTCCCGCACATCACTTACAGGCCTGGGAAATACTTGGGATGTGACTGTAACACGTGGGTGTGATGGGTTGGACCCCTTAAGGTGCCACCTGATGTGTTGGGATATCACTGAGCTCGCCTGTTCTGCCAGCCAGGGCACCCTTTTTACCTGTCTTGCTGAGCCAGGCTATTAAGCCTCCTCCAGCACACATGCAGGCAGGGCCACACCCAGCTGCAGATCGACACAGATACTGAGATCAGTGCTGGGAAGCCTCAGCTTAAGAGACTTGCCCCAGCATTCAGGTGTCCACCTCCCTTGGAGTGCAGACCCAACGGTATATTATGAAATCTGCCTCCTCCCTCAATGTGGAGGAAGGTATGCACAGCCTCTTACCCTCCCCCCCCAATTATGAATTGCACAAATGGGGTTATACTATAAACAATAAATAAGTTTAGACACTTAAAATTCACCTTTTGTAGTTAATAAAGAGACCCATGTTTCTGCAGGGCTGTGGGAGCCATTATTTGTAGGCTGTCTGGAGCGTCTACAGGAAGATTAAGCTCTTTCACAGTCCATTGTCTTTGCTAATGAGCTGGTTGGGGGTGACACCCAAAGTAGCATAGCTGAAATACAAATACATAGTTTATATTCTTAACTTCAGATACAGAAATGATAGAGGCATACACATTGGATAATCACATTCAGTAAATCATAACCTTTCCAATGATATCTTACATGAACCATCTTGCATAAAGTACATCTCAGTTATGTCATATTCATATCATAAGCATATTTTCATAAAGAATATGGAGTGAAATGTCACAGTGGGTTCCCTTGAGGTGCGGGGAGGGTGACCAGATAGCAAGTGTGAAAAATTGGGACAGGGATGAAGGGGGGGTAATAGGTGCCTATATGAGACAAAGCCCCGAATATCAGGACTGTCCCTATAAAATCAGGACATCTGGTCACCCTAAGAGGGGGTGGCATGCTAGTCCAGAGTCAATGGGAGCAACATCGACCAGAAAAGCTGCGTGGGTTTTGGATCGCTGCTGTTAATGGGCTCCTGTGGCTGCAGGTGAAGCAATGGCAGCTATTTGAAAGCCACTCCCTTCCTTCCCTGTTCCCGCAGCAGCTGCCAGCCCTGTTTGTAGCTGTGGGGTCAGACGACTGATTCTCTGCTCTGATCCCGCAGCACTTGACGTAGCTGTTCGAATGCATTCATCCCAGCCCTGTGGAGCTACAGGTGCGAGTCTCCCCCTCGCTTTGAAGATCATGGAGCCTCCTGGGGAGATGGCAGGAGAATCAACAAAAGGAAATAAATTAGAAAGCAGAGAAGGGGGGAAGAACAGAAGCTGAAAAGGACAAAGGAAAGGCAGACGAGAGAGAATGGCCAGAGAATGGGAACAGGGGAGAGTAGGTTGGAGGAGGGAGTGCACCTATGTGCACAGGGGTAGGGCAATTCAAGCAAACGGGGTTGGGGACCCTTGCCGTGCCCACAGAATGAAGGATTGGCTACACTGGGTGTCTTTGCTTTGGTGTAGTTGTACAGGTGCTGATCTTGCACTAGGGTTTGAAACCTGGGTAAGCCATGCTGGGAGAAGTCTCGCTTTACATCAGCGGAGCACATCTACTTTAAGTGTTTGCATCAGTACAACTATGTTGGTGTAGTGACAACACTGCAACCCCCCCAGGGTAAAACATCCGAAGGCACCATCCTTCTTGTTCCTCAAAAGCTGATGGCCGTGAACAATACATTTTCTGAAGGGCACCTGCTACCTTAAATACTGAGGCCCAGGATCCTTTTGTGGGCGTCTTGTGCCTCCAAAGCTCCCTCCTGTATTTTGAGCATGAAGATTACCTTTAGGCTCAATTTGGATGCCTCCCACTGCTCTCCCTGATTTTTGCACTCCGGACAGGTAGGAACGCCAGGACTCATCCGCTGCCTCTGTTCAGATACAAGAGCAAAAATGTGGGCACAGGTTTGGCGAGTGTAAATTGTGTTTGCAAAAGGGAGGCTGCCTGGTTGGATCTAAACACCCCTTAATGAGATTTTTTTTTCTTTGAGTGGGGATTATTTGAATAACAATTATACTCACTAAGATTAAAAGCAATTATCTAGCGGACAGGAAGGATGCTCTTATCAAACCACTAGACTGGGACTTGGGAGCCCCGGTTTCAATTCCTGGCTATGCCACAGGCTTTCTATATAACTTAATCTCTCTGTGCCTCAGTTTCCCATCTTTAAAGTGGTATCATGCTACCTTAGTCTTTCCTCTTTAGATTGCTGACCCCAAAGAGTGTACAACAGTGTCTGTACAGCACCTTGCAGAAAGTTATTAATAGTAAACCCACAACTATCTGAAAATGTTAAACACCCAAAGTGTAAGGAACTGTTCAGAGTGGAAGGGAGACAGGGGGAATAATGCTAGAAGTAATGGGATGAAATTAAGGCAAGTAAAATTTAGGCTGAATCTTTGGGAGACTATTGGAAAGACCGTCCTGAGTCTCATCACTTATGATGTCTGAAAGGAGACCAGATAATGCACTGTAGGAAATTCTGGCCTCTGGGGAACAGACAAGATGGTGTATTAGGTTTCTTCTGTCTCTAATTTCTTTGATTAGCTGGCGCAGAAGATCTCCTTGAGACAACGTTTTGAGGATTGCAAATATTTGGGTAAACATAGCTAGCAGTAGACTGATGTATGCTACTAAGCTTGCTGCACTACTGGGATTTAAAGGGTCCTTTTTCTTTGCAGGCACTGGTGTCACTACACAGTTACGCGGACAGTTTCCTGTCAAGTGCAGAATGGCTCGGAGACCGTGATCCAGAGGGTTTATCAGAGCTGCCGGTGGCCAGGACCTTGTGCCAACTTAGTGAGGTAAAAGCCCTTAACATCTCGTGTTGTATATTCAAACTGCGGACTGGGCCTTGCACTTCTGATTCAGTTAATGGGTATCTGGGCTAAGCAAAACATGTAGGATGGGGCTGGATTCTGATCTTAGTTAACCCAGTATAAATTGGAAGTAACTCACTGAAGTTACAGGAGTTGCTCCTGATTTATACTGGTATAACTGAAATCAGTACCCTACCCTATGTCTGTAGCTTTGCTCTGTGTGGCATTTAGCTGTGCAAGCTTCCTCATACAGTTTTATTGAGGCACCTGGCATTACTGACCTGAAATACCACTACTCTGGCTCTCCAAGAACCCCAAGTGCTCTGACCTGCGGCGGGGCTTTTTGATGTGCACCAGAGCCAATGAGGGACTAAGATAAGGCCACCAAACTCATTGTCACGTGAGACCTGTGCTAGGATTGGATTTCATCCTGGTAGGTTCCCAGAGATTATGGGCTAATGCAGGGATGATGAAAGTACTTGATGCTGGGAGCCAGATCTTGCAAGGTGCTCAGAGCTCTTAATTCCCATTGACTTCAGAGCACCTTACAAATTTGAGCTCTCATAAGGTACTCTTCATCCACAGGTCTCCGTGACCTTTACAGAGGTGTGGTGTCCAATATCCCCACTTCACAGATGAGAAACCTCAGCACAGAGGTCGTGACTTGCCTAAGGCTTCTTGACTTCCAGGTCTTTGTCCTACCTGCTAGACAATTCTAGTAATCTATTGTGCTGCCTGGCCGTCTGTAGCCTTAAATTAGCCAACAAAGTGAATGGAATTATTTATCGCCACTTTGTTACCAACAGCTACAGAACAGGGTTTGAGATAATCTCAAATTTAGTAAAGAAATGTCTTGATGGTAATGTAGGCAGAATATAGTTCCACCCTCTTCAAAAAGCATCCATCAAATACTGAGCTTCACCGATGATAGTATTCGTTGGGAATTTTAATTTTTCACCTTGCTGTTAATGCTCTTGGTTCTCCGTTTTCATTTGGCCACTGGTCAGTCTTACTCAATTTTCATTTATGTGGTTTGGTGTTTGTTTGGTCTTATTTCAACGACTGCCTTATGTGGGACATTTTATATTTTACATTCTTGTGACCAAACTTCTGCTGAGGTTTTAAAATTTCCCAGACCTACCTTTTTTTTTTTTTTTGGTGCTCCATTCCTCTTACGAGTGCATGTTAACCTTTAAATACAGTTTTAAAAAAACTTGCCAAATTCTTGCCCATTCTTCTTTTTAAAATGTGAATGAAGCTACACTGCTAACAAATAATCAGTCATGTTATTAGATCAACATCCTATCTACATACTTGTAAAGCTACTAATTAAGTAGGCATATTCACTGAAAAGAAAAATGGTATAAAATTGATGTTTATCTATGAAAATTCTAGCAACTATAAACCCAGAGTTTTTTTGTTTTTGTTTTTTTGGTGTTCAGTTTTGTGACATTCTAACTTGGCTGGATGGTTTTCTGTCTTAAGTAATTTTTCTAACAGCCTGAAGACTATTAGCCTGAATTGTTCTGGCTGCTTATTTGAGGACAGTGAAGAATAGCAATGGAATGATTGGCAAGAGAAAAGCTTAAATTAAAAATGCATAAATTTAAAAATGAGAGACAAGGTGGGTGAGGTAATACCTTTTATTGGACCAACTTTGGTTGGTGAGAGAGACAAGGTTTTGAGCTTACACAGAGCTCTTCTTCATGTCACTAAAGACTGAAGAGACCTGAAGGTCTCTGTGTAAGCTCAAAAGCTTGTCTCTCTCACCAACCGAAGTTGGTCCAATATTACCTCACCCACCTTGTGTCTCTAATGTCCGGGGACCTACAACACTAAATTTAAAAACGTCAGAAGCCTTGGCACTGAAATAGTTTGAGGTTACTGACACTTAAGATCTCAGTTAGGAGCTGCCTCTCTGGGATGTAACTGCCCAATAGGATTGCCAGGCATCCAGTTTTCGACTAGAACGCCCGGTTGAAAAGGTTAGCACCGCTGACCAGGCCATTAAAAGTCCGGTCGGCGGTGCATCAGGGCTAAGGCAGGCTCCATGCATGCCCTGGCTCCCGGAAGCAGCCGGCATGTCCCTGTGGCCCCTAGGCGCAGGGGCGATCAACGAAGCTCCGTGCGCTGCCCACACCCTGAGCACTGGCTCCGCAGCTCCCATTGGCTGGGAACCGTGGACAATAGGAGCTGCAGGGGTGGCGCCTGTGGGCTCAGACAGTGTGCACTGTGCAGAGCTACCTGGCTGCCCCTGCGCCTAGGAGCCGGACATGCCATCTGCTTCCGGGAGCCACGCGGAGCCAGGTCAGACAGGGAGCCCGCCTTATCCATGCGGTGCTGTGGACCGGGAGGCGCCTGAGGTAAGCGCCGCCTGGCTGGAGCCCGAACCCCCTCCTGCACCCCAACCCTCTCCGAAGGTTGGAACCCCTTCTTGCACTCAAACTCCCTCCCAGAGCCTGCACTCCCTCCCACACCCCAATCCCAGCCCTGAGCCCCCTCGTGGAGCCCACACCCCAACCCTCTGCCCCAGCCCTGAGCCCCCTCCCACACTCTGAACGCCTCTGCTTCAGCCTGGAGCCCCCTCCTGCACCCCAGAGCCTGCACCCCCAGCCCAGAGCCCCCTCCCCCCTAACCCTCCATTTCTGGCCCCACCCTAGAGCCCACAACCCCAGCTGGAGCCCTCACCCCATTCCAACCCCCTGCCCCAGCCCAATGAAAGTGAGTGAGGGTGGGGGAGAGAGAGTGAGTGGGGGTGGGGCCTCGGAGAGGGGGTGGGGCAAGGGCAGGGCCTCAGGGAAGGGGCAGGGCACAGGGGTGGGGTGTCCGTTTTCTGGAATTAGAAAGTTGGTAACCCTACTGCCCAATTGCTGGCCTGTGCTCCCAGGACATGGACTAGAACACAAGAAAACTCTGTCCAGATTGGCCTTGAGCCATGCTACCTATTGCTTTTAATTAAGGCAATTTCATGAAATTGTTATCAGGCAGAGATTCCTCCAGGTAGAAATGGACCAGAAGATATATTCTGACATGAACACTGAAATGCTACCCCCCCCCCCATCTCTACTGCAATTTGGGGAGAATGCTAGATTCCAAACTGAGTGGCTGGCATGCTTCTTAGGTCACCGCGATACCCTCTGCACTAGGTCATACATCATACCCACCCAGTTTCAATCATACTGGAGGCACAAAAGACACCTAAATGAACCTGAGGCTGTCCCTGGCTCTCTGTTTCTTGAGGACCTCCAGAAGGGGGCTGACAGAAGGGACATGAGCCTACCCAGTTACTGACAATGGGAAAACAGGACTAGCACACACCTGCTCCAGGTGGCACATTGTATTCTCAGTTGAAGAGGTCACTGCAGAGAAGGAACGGTTTTGAGAACAAGTGCCATGTCGGCAAAGCCCCTGAGATTCAGAGATGGTAGCTGATTGAGAGGTATCCATTATCTCCATCCGAGGTGCCTCTATTTTTTTAATTGGTTGCATTACTTTGATTTTTTTTTTTTTTTTTTTTTGGTGGAGGGTGGGATGATCTCTTATTTACATTTTGATTTTTCACAAGGAGGTAAAAGTAGCCCCTGGAATCAATGGATGCTGACCATTGCCATGAGACAAGAGTGCAACCTTTTGTAACCCAAGCCCAAGAAATGAAGATCAGCTTCTTACAGCTCTCCCTGGGTCACCTGTGTTACGCTGCCTGTCCCTTCAGTTGACCGGAATTCATGATGTCTATAATAGCACCATCTTGTGACTCCCAATAGCATAATTTCCAAGGCAGTTCTTAGTGCATCTCTAAAGTGCTGGCTGAATTTTTAGCTGGACAGCCTCATCAGGCAAACAGGCTGGCCTTTGGCCAGGACGTCTCTCAGATTGGGAGTGCTCAAGTCATATGATTGGCGCATCCATCTCTGGCTATCTTGTATAAACTCAGATTTCCTCTCGAACCCGGCCCAGGTAAACTTCTGTGCATCAGTATTGAGACTACGCAGTTGGAGGGCACTCATTCATCTTCTGGTGGCTCTTGTGTTGTGGAACACTATTTAACATGGGCAGACTCAGGCCCCTGCACACTCGAGCGGCCCCCAAGCCCTTTCTTTGTGGCTTGACAGCTCAGCTTGACTTCACAAAGAGACAGATCTGAATCCCAGAGAAAGCTGCTGTGAAGAGCTGCATGTTTGAGCGTGAGCTTTGCTCGATGCGAAAGTGTCCAGACATCTGGGAGTAGAGTGCAGGCCAGTGGTTTCCAGTTGTTTTTGATGAGATCCCATTTGTCCTGGTTGGTGGTCTTTCCAGTAGCGGAGTCTCTCTCAAAGTTGCTCTCTCTCTCTCCATAAAATATCTGAAACAGTTTGATGCCCAAGGACTTAATCAGTAATGATGGCCTTTGCTTCACTGCAGGTTTAATTTGTACGGCGACTGTTTTCTTGAACAGCCCGTGTTGAGTTCCCTATCCCTGTTTGCTTTCTGTTGTTCCTGTATCTCTCTGCTGCGTTGATTCTTTCTTTCCCTCTGCTATTATTTAACACTGTAATCTGCAGGGTACATTCATCACCCTTAGTGATGCTCCTACTGGAGCAGCACCAGTCCACATTCCTGGCTAATGCATGGGGCTGATCACACTCTGCAGGCTAGCTGTATGGAATCTCAGCAACTAGACTGGCCGCAGTGGGGAAGTACTGTGTTGTGTGGGAAGCGTCATTCTTTCGGATGAGACATCAAAGAAAGATCTCTTTTGTTGTGCCTGGCAGGTGTCTAGGTGGGGAGGGGGGAATAATCTTTCTGATTTAACCACTATTGTAGTGCTAAGAAGATCCTCACATCCATGGTACTGTGTGAAGGATTCTTGTTTGTATTGGCAGCTCAGTTTGGTCTCATGATCGTTGTGCTGCCCATAGAGTGCTTCGAGAGACCTTTTCCAAGAAGGAACTTTTATAAATGAATTAATAACGAACTAAAGGGGGTTAATGTAATTAATGCAAATC